AAAATAACTTTTGAACCAATTTCTGGTTAATATAGCAGCATATTTGGAACGGAGTTACTAAGCGCCATGATGGAGCTTTAGGAATTAAGTCACCCATGCATCAGAGAAGCTTGGCTTTTCTTTGAAGCATTACAGTGCAAGAATTCATCCATCCATATATAGAGAACAAATAATCCGTTTATCACTTGTCTAGCCATTCCAATTCATTCAATGTAACTTTAATGGGAAGGTTCAAGTCATTTAAATGGATACTGGAATCAAATTTGAAAAGAAATGTAATAAATAGACAAATGAACTTGACAAACAAATACTTCAGAATAAACAAAATGAAGACCATGTACTTGACAGAATAAACACACGCACAAAGAAAAAACTTAAGTTCTATTTAAAAGTTTCTAGGTGTTGGAATGGCAATGGTCAAAATCATTACAACACTTTCAAGAAGCCAAGAATCAACAAGATAGTTTTCTTCTAGGAAACATAACAGAAAGACTCAATCCAAAACAATATTAATTCGCATACAAGATACTAAAACAACCTTGAACAAGAGTACTAAGTGAAGCGAGATATAACCTCCCCAAAGCAAAAATTGCTCTCCAATTCCAAAATCCGCCGAACCATCAAAGCACCAATATCGCGTCCCCTTTGTTCAACTGGCTGGCCTCTTTCTATCAAAGTAATATCTGCACCAAGCTCTGCAAGAACCAAAGAAGCAAACAACCCAGATGGCCCGCTACCCACAACTGCAATTTTCGGTTTTCTACTCCCCGTGTACTTATGTGCACCCGCATTGGAAGAATAACCATTAACACCACCTTCTTTCAGCAACCTTTCTCCCTCAACCTTCTTACAATCTTGAATCACACTTATTATATCACCCGAGACTCTTTCTCGAGGCATATGTTCTATGAGCCCAACTCTAGGCTCTAAGTCCGAAATGAAATCCCTAGTGCGAGGTTCTAGATTTATAAGTTCACTCACATCCATATCCACTGTATACACAAATTTTGCCTCCTTTAACATCTGAAAAAAGTAAAAAACATTACTAAAACAAATTAGATAGAAACAAAAATAAAACTTTTTTTTATAACTAACTGTTTACCGATGAAGCATGAAATTAAAAAAAATAGAGATTGAGGGTAATTTCAATCAATCTAATAGAAGCAAGAAAAAACAGCAAACCCCTATTAATTAAACTAACCTTTCTCGCATCAAACGATTTCCTAATAACCGAAAATGCTTCTGGGGGCAACATTGAAGCAACCTGGTGCAGTTTTAAGTGATTAAAAATGGTCAAAAGAATGTCAAATTTTGTTTTCAAAAAGAGGCTGATAAGAGTATTACCGGGAACTTGATAGCTTTGGCAATTTCTTGAAGCAACCCGTCGGATACGCCGAGAAAGTCCTTTCCGGGGTCGTCTTGAACGGAAACAGCAAGCTTGGACAGCCTCCAAATGCCATCAAATTTGTTCTTGACATCAGTTAGAGCTTCTTTGTGCTTCAACTTGAGTTTCTTCTTCTCTGAGGGATATCTTCGCTTTCCCGTTCGTTTTGTGGCGCAGAGGGTTTTTGGGAGTGTTTGGGGATGGTGAAGTCTACGGGTGGGATAGGGGAGGATTGAGGTGCTGTTTGGGAAGGGGAGAGAGACAGGAAGGAGAACAGACCGGAGAACGGACATGCTTGGAGGAGTCGGCTGGGTGGCGGACACGGTGGAGCGGGGATATTGGATTTATTTTTTCGAAGTACGTAGTTGTCTTCAACATGTAATATATCCTCTTGATATGAAGGGTTCAAATTTGATGATAAAATTCTTTTGTATCCATCATTCGGATAGGCTGCCTTTCACAATGTTCTTACTTGGTGTTAATTTTCACTTTAAATGATTTTCTCATATGAATTTCAATCGATAAAAATTAAAAAAATTTATAATCGAATTAAAGTTTGTTTGATATATAATTTTTATATTTTAGAATATAACTTAAAAACTGTTTTTTATAAATAACTTTAAAAAAATTTATAATGGAATTACAGTTTGTTTGATATATAATTTTTATATTTTAGAATATAACTTAAAAACTGTTTTTTATAAATAACTTCATAAAAATAGGCTAAGATAAATTTAAATTATAAATATATCTGACGGAAATGACTTGTATTTTTTTTTATTAGAATATATGCAGAATAAGTTATTAACATTCATAAGTTAATTTAACTTTTGATTAGGTAGAAATATTAAAATTAACAAAAGAAAATACTAAAATAGAGTTGTTATATTGTGTAAACATTGTTCATCCTTCTATATTTTATTATTAAAAAATTCCTTCCTAGGTCCCTCTAATAGTCAATCTATTTCAATTTCATCATCAAAATTTATTTATTTTTCAATTTAGACCTCACAAATAGAATTTGTGTTGTTATTAGTTTATTTTTTTCCTCTTGAAATTGCACATTACCATGTCTTCATGGTTTCCAAGATTATTCTAAAGTTAAATGACATGTAAATTATAATTCTTTCCGTATATATATTGTTCAAGAGACGTGTGAATCATAGTCTCTAAAATTTTAAATTTTAAATTTATTTTGTTTTTTTATCATTTTTATCATTTTTGTTTCAACACCAAACTTTATTTTTTGCATTTCAACACCTAAATCTTGATAAATAAAAAAGAAGGTCACCTAAAAGTTTTAAGAAATAAAAGATCTTGATAAATAAAAAAGGTCACCTAAAAGTTTTAAGAAATAAAATCAATGAAAGTAGTTCCACCTTCAATGATGCTAAAAAATATAGATTGTGGTTCATGAAGTTCTTTTATTGGATTTTATTCTTTTTTATTTTTTAAGGTGATTATAATGAGTTTCATTTGTAAAAACATGATTTTAGAGGTTAACAGGATGTATTTTTGGAGAAAAATAGTTGAAATCTAGATTTTTAAGATTTAAAAACTTGAAACCTGATTTTTCATTTAGCAAAGACATCTCATTTAACTATAAAGATTGATGGCAAACAATACAATATTTTTCAAGATGGTTGGCTTATCATTTGCCATTTAAAGAAAAAAACCTAAATGTACAAGCCTAAATTTCTAGCTCACAAAACTTGCCCCTTTAATAAAGATGATAATTTAATTTGAACTTAATGGATAACGATTCAAATTAGTAAGTTTTTCTTAGATAATTATTTTACCTAATAAATAATAGATATTGTACGAATATTGTTAAACTTCATCTAAAATCTTGCCTAAAACTAACTGTTTATATATATATATATAAAAATTCTTTATAAACCTACCTATTTTTTTAGAAGAGGTTAGAAACAAAATCAAAGATATCTTTTCAAATATATATATATATATATATGTGCACGGAGCATTATATTTTTTTTTAATGTAATATGTGTGTGTTGAACATCAAGTAAAAAAAATCATGTTTTTTATAAGTTTTTTTAAAATAAATTTCAATTTATATTTAAATTTATGCCTTTTTTCTTTAATTTCTTTTTTTTCTTTAACATTTTTTTAAAATAGTGATTGTTTTTTATTATTCACATGTATTTAATTTTTGAATAGATTATTCTAATTTATCAATATTTTTTTTTGTTTTTATATAATTTAAATTTATTTTTTAAAAATATTTATTTTTGAATAGTATTTATAATAAGTGCAACCTTATGAGAATTTTTTTTTATTCAATCAAATTTATTTATATGTCTATTTATAATATTATTTTATTAAATAAAATTTTAATTCTAATAAATATTGTTATTGAATATAATTTATATCTTAATTTTTATTTGCCTCTTGACCTTTTCAATTGCATATTTAATTATAATTAATGATTTATTTATTTATTAAAACATATAGTTATTAATTTATTTATCTCTCTCTCTCTCTCTATATATATATATATATATATATATATATATATATTAATTTACACTTAATAACTGCCATGAAAAAATTAATGTTGAAAAAGCCTAGGTATTTAATTTTTTTATTAGAAAAAAATCCAACTCATGGTGAAACATGAATCAATTAAAGAGTATAGGTGTTTGAATGAATTAAAAAATAAAATAAAAAAGTAGTAGGAATCTAAAGGTCTATTTATTTCTGTGTTTTAAAAATATTTTAAAAAATTAGTTTTTTTAATTTTTTTTACTTCAAATTAATATTTTTTTTATTGCGAGATTAAATATCTTAATTTTTATTTGTCTCTTAACTTTTTTTAAATGTATATTTAGTTATAATTAATGATTTATTTATTCAATAACATATATAGTTTTTAATTTATTTAATTAGATATGTATATAAATATTTTAATTTACACCTAATATCTTTCATGTGAAAAAAAATGTTGAAAAAACCTATATATTTAATTTTTTTATTAAAAAAAGTCCAACTCATAACAACACATAAGTCAAGTTTTAATTATAATTAAAGAGTGTGGGTGTTTAAATAAATTAAAAAAATAAAAAAATAGAAGGAATATAAGTCTGTTTATTTTTATATTTTAAAAGTATTTTTGAAATTGATGTCAAAAATAATTTTTAAAAAATAAAAAAATTATTTTAATATATTTTTAAATAAAAAATATTTTGAAAAACAACCTATTTTCAAACATCCCCTCAAAGTTGGTGATTAAATAAAAGTTACTTGAAACAAGACTATGAGCTTGTTTAATATTGTAGTAATTGTTATTTTTTTTAAAGTTTTTATTTAACAATATATTAAAATAATATTTTTTAGTTTTTAAATTTATTTTTAATATTAACACATTAAAACAAATTAGAAAAAATAATAATTAAAAAAATTCTCAAAATTTTTTATTTTTTTTTTAAATATACTATTTGTGTGCTCACACACACTTAAATATATGTTTGATTTAAAGGTATAATAATTTTTTTTAAAATATAATTTTTTTAAAATACAAACTACACCTCATGAAAATAAAAAATATATACTTCATATGTGTTCCTATAAAAAAACACCCAAACCAAACACCCATCAACCAACCAACCACCCAAACCAGTACTTGCACCGTAAAAAAGTCAAAACAAATACAAGGAAAAAGAAGCAACGCTTCCTCGATCAAATCACCAAGATCACCATGGGCAACACATCTTCGATGCTCACTCAATACGACATCGAAGAAGTCCAACAACACTGTAACCATACCTGTACGTAACTCCCTGGCTTTCCTCCTCCTCTTCTCTCCACACAATCAATTTACAATTGCATTCAATTAATTAACATGTCTGTGTAGTTTCGCAGCAAGAGATAGTGTCGTTGTACCAGAGGTTTTGCCAACTGGATCGAAACGGCTGCGGTTTCGTCCCAGCCGAGGAGTTCCTTTCCGTTCCTGAATTCGCCGTCAATCCACTCTCTCAGGTTCTGCATTTTAATTTCCGTCTCTCTTTTCATATATTTTGTAAATTTTTTATTGATTTTTTTTAATTGTTTGGAGCAATAGAGACTGTTGAGAATGGTAGATGGACTGAATTTCAAGGAATTTGTGGCATTCTTGTCTGCATTTAGTCCTCGTGCTCCTTTGCAACACAAAATCGAATGTAATGTTTTTTTAATTAGCTTTTTCAAAAATTAGAACATAAAAATAGTCTCTAATCTCCATAGATGTGTTTTATCTTATGATGTTGTGTAGTTATCTTCAAGGTGTATGATTCGGATGGCAATGGGAAAGTTACCTTCAGTGATATGCTGGATGTATTGCATGATTTGACCGGTCAGTTTGTATCAGAACAACAAAGAAAGGTTAGATTTCAGCCTTCTTTTGGTTCGTTTTAATTTGATTTGGATGTGTTTAGTGTCCCTGTCGATTTTCGTATGCATCTGGTTAATCGGTAATTTTGAGGTTCAAATAAGAAAATGTGCGCGCCAAATTGCATACCATGACCTTGTTTTAGGCATAAAAAGAAGAATGTAAGGGCTCGTTTATCTTTGAGTGAATTTCTTGGAACTTTTTTCAGTGCAGACATTTCTTTTTGCAAATAAGGGACACTTCGGGGCTCAATGGTTTATATTTAGGGTGATTCAATGCTTGCCTAATTCTTCTTACTGTATATTTGGAGTTTTCCTAATATATTTTTTCTTTTTTATGAAAAAGAAAAGGCTTATTATATATTCTTAGGAAGTGTATATGTGGCACCAGTTTGGGCTACTTAAGACGTCTTTGCAACAACTTTTGGAAGGTTTTTTGGATGATAATTGTTTAGGTAATGAATTGATTTGTTGAATTGACTGATCTATGAATTGATCTCTCTAAAGCTGCCATGTGTTATGTAACTGTTCTATTTGTATTTTAAGGTGCATGAGAATGGTTTTTAATTTTATCATAGGTGCAATTTGAGTTTTTATGAACATTATAGTGCCTCCAGGGAATATCAGATTTAGTAGAGTTTGAGGCAGAGACTTAGTTGAGTTGAAGTGAGTTTTATGTGGTGCTATATTTAGGAATCTGGGAAACTGTGGGAGCAAAAGTTTTACAGGCTTGCAGTTAAACAGCTCTCCAAGCACGTTGTTTGAACTTTTCAGGGTTTTTGTCTGATGTGGTATAGTTTCAGTTAGAATACATGAGTCAATTCTGTTGATATAAAATCAATTGGAAGAAAGGCCATGGTAAACTTTGCAGAATAGTACCTTGTTGTTGCCTACACTGAAGTTGAATATTTGAAATTCTTGTACAAATACCTGTTTGTAATGATGCAAGTATCCATTGCTGAAATAGCTCAAGAGTGCTTGTTTTTACTTAAACCGAGGGCTAGTTATGAAGTGCACATTGCCTAGTTTTCAAATCAAGAAGTCAAAAATTTGAGTTCCCAATACATGTGATCTTATTGACTAACAGTATCAGATGTGATTTCTAGTTTTTGCTCGGTTATCATAGAAGTAGGATGTGATTTCAAGTTTTTACTCGGTTATCATAGAAGTAGGATGTGATTTCAAGTTTTTGCTTGGTTAATATCATAGAGCTAGGACTACTTTCAAACTTGCTGTTTCCTTATATGTACATCTGGTATTGACATGTGCTTTGTTTTGGATCTTTACTTACGTTTGGCTCAGCAAGTGCTGACACGTGTCCTTGAAGAAGCAGGTTACTCAAAGGATTCTTTCTTAGTCTTGTCAGACTTTGTAAAGGTACTGTCATTTATATCTGGTAATTATTGAAAGTTTTATGAACTTAATAACAAAAAATAAATGTGATTAACTAATTTTACATGATGTACTTTATTCTCATACATTACACATGCACAATAAACATCACCACCCTTAACTTAGTGACTTTAATATAAGTTTTCTTTTTTATTTCTTCCTTTTCCTTTTCCTGAAGGTTGGAACAATTGTTACGAACTTTGGATGGCTTCTGTCTAGATAAACTTTTGTCAGTGTATTATGGTTAAACTCGATATTTCATTGTCTAAAGGGGGATTAGGTTGACATTTGTGCATTGGGAATCAACTTTTCAAGCATGCTTCATGGGTAGAGAATTTGTGATTGCAAAATTGATCTTATAACATGGTGATGCGGGACAAAATAGATTTAAAGTTAAAGAAAGAAAAGAAAAATCTAAGAAGAAGCTAAAAACAGAGAAGAAAAGGCTGAAGAAGAGAAGAACAAGGGTTGAAAAAGTCTGCAACTTTGTAACTTTTTTTCAATTCATCAATAACCGTCTATTTTATTTGATAAAAATTAAGCATAAGGAAATGCGAGTTTGTGCAAGTTTCAAGTCTAAAGAACTTTCATTTGAAGGGTATGTTAGAGAATAATATAAATAATATCTTGAGACTTCACCTAACAGTTTAAGTTTTTGGGTTGAATTGGTTCTTTAATATGGTATCAGAGCCTTGTTAGCCAAACGGTCACGAGTTCGAATCTCACCGTCCCATTTATTTGATAAAAATTAAGTATAATGTAGTGTTAATCAGTGCAAGTTTCAAGTCCAAATAACTCTTAAGTTATTAGATTAAGATGATTATTTGAAAATGTGCATTTCTAATCTTCTTTGAATCTGACTTCCCACGCACCCCACTCAATTCAGATCTGATCACGATTATTTTTTTCCCATTTCCTTTAGTGAAATTTCAAAAACTGAAAGATATTACATTTGCATTTCCTTGTAAACTTTTTATGGATTATATCTTTTTTATTGCCTTAAACTTCCCATTTGAACTTTCCCCCTTCAATTATTTGTTTCTTTGACAGTGGAGTCCTTCCCATAAGATTATTGCATCATCCGTCTAGCGTCTCATAACATTAATTAGTCACTTTCTCCACTCAATTAGTTCTTTAAATTCATCTCTTGCGCTCACTGTTGATTGCTTACCTGCAGATTCTTGGAAATTCTGATATGAAGATGGAAGTTGAAGTTCCAGTGGACTAAATGCAGCTGGTATCAAATAAAATTGCAACTTCAGCCCAGATAGTGGAGTGTAGACTGAATTCTGTTGGCGAAAAGCGTGAGCTGCCACACTTCTCCGTAAATCGATGTTCAACTGCAACTGTTGTATATCTAATTTTAGACCGTTATATCACCTTGCGTTACTTTATGTTGTGGATTCCAATTAGTTGATAATGATTCAAGCAATGAATTATGTTGCAATTGCCAGTGTTATAAGTCTTCAAGCATTTAATCTTAAATGCCCTTCACCTCCAAACCTCGCGGCCTGGTCATCCGTAAATGCATCCATGGTCTCAGGGTCCACGCTATGACAGCATGCGCATCCATCTGCGGTGGTTCATTATCTTGTTTGATATTTTGGTGTAATTAAATCTGATTTGTTTTTAAAATTTTAAATTATTTTGATGTGTTAATTTTAAAAAATAAAAAATATTATTATTTTAATATATTTCTAAATAAAAAATATTTTAAAAAATAATTTATATCTTACTCTCCCAAAAGAGACGAAGGAGACAGAGTAGGGACCCTTTAAATGGTCGGAGGAGGAGGAAGAATGTACCTTGTTATTGATTGGATCGCATCCCAGGTATGGTCCCATAAAAACGAAACAATTATTTATATATGGCGAACCGAGTACACAAAAGACACCTATGATTTACGGGCATTCGATGAATTTCATGAGCCAAGTAAGGACAGTTCACCGATAGGAGCAACTGTTGAGGGAACCACATTTGCAAACAACATTTTAAAAGTGCCAAGTGTCAATTTCCATTTCTGTTTTTCTCATCTGTCCAGGATTACAGTAACGGTTTTAATTTAATTTTTTTAATATTATTACATCAAAATTTAAAAATATTAATACTTATACTGTTTAAAATACTAATTTACCACTTTAAAATAGCATCTCTCGTCGGAGATGCTCTAGCAAACCGTGCTGGATTGTATTTGTTGGGCGTGATACACAGGGAAATGATGATGGCAGATACCATCATCACTGTTAATGATATTGTTTCCACTAAGTAAAATTCTCAGCCGGTCTCATTAAATTAGATAGTTTGTGTTGGATATGGACAGGCCAAGAGGCTTAGTATAGTACATTTGAAATTCAAAAAGAAAAGGATGAAATAAATAAATACAAAGAATACAACTCTGCCATCATAATTAGCTTCACTAGGGACACTTGTCTAAACTCCTCCCCTCCTCTCAGATGCCGCAGCGTGTGTGGTGATGGCCCTGATGGGGCCTATTAATAGCCGTTAAAACCTCCCCTTTTAACAATTTTTTAGCTTGATAAATATCCTTCGACACCCGTTGAGGAAAAAGAGCAACCAAGGCCCCCACATGGTAATCATAAATCTATTTGTTTTTTAAAAAAACCCTCAATTAATGCATTAATTGACAAGTGACAGGAAGATTAACTATCCTGGTCATTTGGCCAACAAGGTTAATGGATTCGGAACAGGTGCATAGTTGTCTTAACTTGCCTTTTTGTTTTTTTGTTTTAATATCCTTTTTATTCTCAATTCATGCGTTAAGGAATTAAGGCATTCCATGTCAGCAACATTTGAATACGTAACTTAAAAAAGAAATTTACATTGACGTCAAATCTCACATCTGCTTTGTAGAAAAGCAATGGAAAAGCAATGAGATTTCTATAGCTATGTTTGGAACGAGAGTCCGGAAATGATGATGTTTGCTTTGGTTGCTTAAAAATAAGTGGGGTCTTGTCCTAAGCTCCTGTACGGGTTTTTATGCCTGAAATTTTCAAGCCTATCTGGTCTGCTTTGCTATTCTTTCGTTTTTTCCAGAGAAGCAATTTGCTTCATGGCTGGATTGCTTGGTTTTTCGACCAGACTGTGTTATATCTTGATTTGTTGAAGACGACAGTTCCTGTTTGCTAAAAGCTTTTTCTCTCTCTATTGGGTCATGCTCCAAGGAGTGAATATACAAACTGCAGGTGATAGGCTCAAATTTCATTTCTTGCTGTGCTTTTTAACGTTTTTCATAGATTGATTCTTTGTGCTCTCTATTGTTTTGTCCAATATCTTTTATCATTTCCACTGCCACATCTTCTATCTTTCGGGATTTCCCTGAGTTCTTTTCTTCTGTACCTCCTTTTGGCGCTTGTGATTCATATTTTCACAATTAAGTTGAGAACAATTATAACATCTCTTCATTTGTTTGTGTCAAAACGTTATTTGTTCTGCTATATCTAAGAGTGACATACGAAAATATTGCTTGTTTATGGGATGAAATCCCCCCTTTCACTGGGTTATGTTTTCGGAAGGGAGGGCGGTGCAGATGGGGTGTTTGAGATGACAGAGCCACCCAGTTGTGTATAGGATCAAAGGAATTTATGTTTGTGTTCATATTTATAACCGAAATATTTACTACTGTTGCGTGCAAATGTGTTAGCAAGCGAGGGTAAATTTGTTGACCCTTTGCACTTGCCTATCTGCTTGCTTAAACTCTCATACGTGCTTTGTAGTATGATTTTTTAATTCATTGTTTTTGTTGCTGGAGATACCAAGCGAAATTTGAGATGAATAAGGAAAACTGCTAATGGGTTATTGAAACTGAAAAAGAGTTGATGCTCTTTTTGTGCACAGGCAGGAGTCGGCATTTAGTTTATTGCTCATGGATGGAAGTAGTTTATTACCGGCGCCTGAAACTAATATAGCAGCTCTGAAAGAAGCCCTTTATACACAGCAGCATCTTCTGCAAACCCTTTATGCCGAGCTAGATGAGGAAAGAGAAGCCTCAGCCACTGCAGCCAGCGAAGCTTTATCTATGATATTGCGGTTGCAAGGTGAAAAGGCTTCACTGAAGATGGAAGCAAGCCAATATAAGAGAATGGCAGAGGAAAAGATGTGTCATGCAGAAGAGGCCCTGGCAATTGTAGAAGACCTCATGTATCAGAGAGAAATGGAGATTGCATCTCTTGAATACCAAGTTCAGGCTTATAGGTATAGACTTTTAAGCATGGGCTGTAATGATTTGTGTGTGTACGAGAATACTTATCCAGAGAATCTGTTAATGCAAAGAAACGATCCTTTATTTGGGGAAAATGGTGCCAACGGAAATGTAAGGAGATTCAACTCTCCGCCTCAGGTTTCAACCAAGGATGCCAGTTACAATAAAAGTAATATTGAAAGGAAAACATCTATAGTCCCTGTGCTAGATACAATGCAAATGAATGCGGAGGAAATTGCAATTCGAGAAGCTAATGATTCAGAGAATAAATCAGGGAGCCCTTCTGGTGCACACGTTTATTCATATTGGGAGCAGATCAAAAGGTTGGATGAACGGGTAAAAGAGATTTCTGGCGACAAAGATCCCAGTAGGAAAAACTCTGCAACCTGGAAGGGTGGCACTTGGTCTCCGTCATTGTTTTCACAAATGGGCACTGGCACATCTGGCGATCTAACAAGAACGGAAAATTCTACTCATTCAGACAAAGTTAAACAGCATCAGGATTCACGGGAAAGTGTTCAGGATATTTTTGAAGTCCCACAAACTATCGAGAGTTGCAAAGTTTCTGAACATCCTGTGAAAGAACGTCACAAAATGACTTTGGAAGGTGAAAACAGGCTTCAAAAGCCAGATATGGTATCTGAGGATATTCTGATAACGCCTAATAAAGATGAAAGAGACCTGGTAAAGACAATGGTGCTTTCCACGGTCCATGAGAAGAAATTGCCTAAGCCAAAAGATCGGACAAGTTTTCACCGCAATGTGTCTCTTGTGAGCCGCCCAGCAATTAGTGCAAGCAATTCTCAAGCTGAGTATCAACAGCTGAGTCAGAGAGTTGAGAGGCTTGAGAGAGTAAGAAACAATACAAGCCAAGAAATTATTTCTGAAGGGGAAGAGGAACTGAATTTGTTGAAGGAGATACGAGAACAACTCAATTCAATACAGTCTGAGATCAGAAGTTTGAAAAAAACAAAAAATCCCCATGCTGCAGATAAGCAACCTTTAGATGTTCTCCAAGAGGTATGTCTTCTCCTCTCTCTCTCACCCACTCATGCATGCAGGCATGGTCAATTTAGAGATACGTAACACTAATATTATTCTTATTTTCAGGCAATGCTGTACTTTTGGTTTTAATTCGAGCAATCAAGTTCTTACTGCCTTAATCACCGAATTTTTATGAATTTCCGGGTTCTGATACAACTGCAACTTTGTAAGGATGCTGTTTTGATTTTGAATAGAGTGAATATTATACAGTAAGTTTGTGGACTTTTTTTATTTGATTTGTTGTACAAAACCTATTCAATGTAAATGTTGCTAAGTTAACATCAATCACAGAAGAAGTTTGATTTATTTTGTTTTAGGCATGCTGTCATTTTTATTTTGTTTTCTCTATTAATATTGGGATGATGATTGTAAATTATATTCTACACAACTATCTCCACTTTGCTCGATTTCTCAATCTGTATATGCTCTTTGTCCATTTCTTACAGTCCAACATAAATTTTTAAGTGGCTTGACAAATTTTGAGTGATGTAGAACTCTCAATTCCAGTTCATGAGTGGAGAGAACAAGGCTGTTTCTGGTTTCATTTTCCTTCCTCCAGATGAGGTACCAAGTGATCTCTTAATGTGCAATTGGCATGTCAGGAATTGAATTTTAAGTGATTTATGTTGTCTCTAGCTTCTGACACTTGGTTTTATTAACTGTTACTAAATATTTGCAATAATTATGCCCATGAATTTGTTTCATAGCTGCATTGTATATATTCACAATTTCTATTTCTTGTGTCTTCTGGTCGGCTAGTTGTCTTCATTGAAGGCAAAATTATGAAGAGTGGATGTCGTCTTCCTTTTACCCCTCTGATTAAGTATTCTCTTTCGAGATTTAATCACTAGTAATCATTTTACTTGATGAGTTGTCTTTCGATCCTCAATGTTAAACAAGAATACCATTTGTCTAGCGAACTAATTATAGGATCATAAGTCGCGACTGATGACTCCTATCATCTACTGGATTGTCTTGGGATGCAAACATTATTAAGGATGGTGGTTGAGACTTTCCTTCTGGTAGTCCAGACCTCCAACAGATCTGGGACTGTATTAGATTCCATCCCTAAGTTAGCTCTATGGATCACTATGTTTGGACAAATCATTATAGAGGAAGGTTCACAATTGATCCAGCTTGGGAGGTACTTCGAGATGCCAGGCTCAAGAATGCTATGCACCATCTTTTCCAGTTTTCATGACATGTTCCACGACACTCCCATCTTATAGCTTATGTCTTTGGATCGTCTACACACTATGAACAGATTACAATCTTTTTAGATCATCACCTTTGCAGTACACTATAAACAGATTACACTATCATGTTGTATTTACAAAGATTAGTCTATTTGTTCTCATTTTATAGTTTTCATGACTTCTGATTCTGGATAACAGATTAATTGTATTTCTTATGTATATTTCTCATATCATTTCTCATATATATATTTTTTTATATGTGTCTTAACTTTCTCCAAATAAAAAATAAAAAAAATCCTCTTATATACTAATGAGGTAACGTGACCGGACACAACCATTCTGGTGAATCACAAGCTCGATACTACAGCCATCATCTTTTTTATTCATTGAACAAATGCCAACACAAGTTCATATCACTCATTTAATTAATAATATATATTATTAAAAAACTTACTTATTTAAATTTAAAAAAAATTAAATAATAAATTTTTTTAAAATATTTTGCAAGACCCGGCCCTGCTTGCCCTCCCCTGATTCCGCCCCTGACTACTCACTCAACGAATGTCCCATATCACTCTGCTGCATGTGATACTCGTTGTTTTCTCTTATTGGAATCAGGGAAGATGTGTAAGAACTTATTGACAATATTAAGTATTAATAAATAATTTTAAAATGATAATCATTTAAGCATTCATGTATTGCAATGTCTTCAAACATTTGTGATTTCTCTATCATTTATATTTCTTTCTCTTTTAATATTTTAATATTTTTATTTTCGCAACAATATTATATGGTAAGTTGAGAAGGATAGTGACGATGTCCAATATATTTATAAATATAATTATATAAAAATTCTAAAATGGTCTCATCATTATATTATTATACACATGGACAATCAATTTATAAATACCACACCCATAACAATATAAATGTTTTCTCCTCGTTCTCTCTCAAGAATTTCTTTTATCCAACCCTGTTATAGTAGTCCATTAGATAATTGTCCCATACTACCCTAAATTATTTTTTTAATGTAAAAAAAATATTTAGGTGTTGTTGATATTTTTTCTAGTATAAATTTTTTAAATTATGTGGGGATTGACCCAGTTTATTTGACAGGTCTAAAACAACTCGTATGACTGATAAAAATATAGTTTAATTAAAAATAAATATTTAAGATAAGATCATTTTTATAAATACTGAAACAATAACATATTATATTGATTTGAGTTAACCTGTCAATATGTATGTTAGGTCATAAAATTATAATAACTCCATAAAAAGCAAATTAAAATAAATTATAAAGCCTGATTTATAATAAACGCAATGTAGAAGGATTAAATTGAAAAATAAATCAATAAAAAAAATAAAAAATAACCTAATTCAACTTGAGTTAACATACTAAACCTGTGACCTAAGTCATAAGACCAAAATAATCTAATAAAAAACATATTGAAAAAAATTATAAGCCCAATTCTCAATAAACCTAGCGTTAATGTGGTTAAAACTAAAAAATAAATTTTAAAAAGGACACAAAAAATAACTTGAGTTCATGCGGGTTAATCCATTAAACCTATTATCTAAGACATGAGAGAAAGATAACCTCATAAAAAGTAAAAAAAAAACAAATCATGATATATAATTTCCAATCAATCCAATATTGAAGGATGGAATAAAAAAAAAAGTTAATTAAAAAAAAAACTCAAGTCAACTGAGTTAACTCATCATATGAGACTAAAACAACCTCATAAAAAGCAAATTGATATAAAAAAGATAAAGCTCAATCCCTAATAAACCAAATGTTGAAGGATGTATTTGAAACTAAAAAATCAATTCAAAAAAGGTAAAATAAAAAAACTACTCAATTCAACCTAAGTAATCTCATAAAAAGCAAATTAAAAAGGACCATGAAACCTAATATTTAATAAATCTAATATTGAATAATGTAATTAAGACTGAAAAATTGATTAAAGAATTCACAAAACACAACTTAAGTCAACCCAGATTAACTCACTAAATCCATTACTAAATCATGAGAAAAGAATAATCTCGTAAAAAGAGAAATAAAATAAATCATGAAGTCTAATTCTTATTTAACTCAATTTTGAAGAATGAAAATGAAAAAAAATCAATTAGAAAAAAAAAAACACTAAGTCAACTTATCAAGCTTGCGGTCTAAGGCGTGAGATTGATATAATCTAATAAAAGAAAAATTAAAAAAATATGAAGTCCAATACTCAATAAATATAATGTTATAGGATAAAATTAAAATTGAAAAAATCGATTGAAAAAAGACACAAAAAACTAACTCGAGTCAGCTCGATTTTACCCACCAAACCCGTGACTCAATTCATGAGATAGGGATAACATCATATAAAATAAATTACAAAACCTAATTTTTAATAAATCAAATGTTGAAGGATGAAACTAAAAAAAAAATCAAATAGAAAAAAAAATCGAGTTAACGCAGTTAACCTAAAGAATTCGTGGTTTGGATTATGAAACTAGAATTACCTCATACAAAGTAAATTAAAAAAAATTATGAAGTTCAGTCTTTAATAAACTTAATGTTAAAGAATAAAATTAAAAAAAATATAAATTATATTAAAAACTTATTATAGTGAATAATATTTTGTAAGGAAAAGTACAATAAAATCCCCTCATCTTTTAGTTTGTTTGTTATTTTTTCTAATTTAATTAATTTTATGGACCTTTCAAAAAAACAAAAAACTTTCAATGATGATTATAGTTGAAATATAAGTAAATCTCACAATTAAAAACTATTTTATTTAAGATGTGGATCCAATGAAGATGATTTACATATATTTTACACTTGAACCAATCAAAACAATTATAATAGGGTATATATATATATATCTTCAAATTTTCTTTATTGTAGTTAATTAGACAAAAAAAATCAAATATCAACATATAATAAAAATAAAAATCACACCTTATAAAAAAATCTATGATTTATGTCGTGAGGGGTGCGCCGACGCAATGTCATTTGGCGACGACGAAGGCTTTTGTCTTGCCTCCTGTGTTAGGTGTTGTGTGTTGAGAAGGTTTTTTGGATTTAATCATAAAATTATGATTAATGTTTAGGAGTCGTCATTTAATATTATGGTTACTAGGAACTTATCTTTTACGAGAGTCTGAGTAAGGAACTGGTTGTGTAAGAGAAAAATGCATCACCTTCAGTATACCTTACCTAAGGTAAGTTGCATTATTGTTTGATTTTTTTTTAGTCGGGTTTCTATTCGTTGGTCTTTTTTAAAACTCTAGGTAGATTTCTCTTTACGTGAAAGTCTCTACCTTATCGGGTTTAATCCTAACTGTTCTAAAGTCTGAATTTTAGCATCTCATTTCTACACTTTGCATCTTTAATACTCGAGGGTGTACTTTATCGTGTAATTTCACACTCCAAAAATATTAAAGTCTACACTTAGATCCTAAAAAAAATTGAAAAAAGATTTTTAACATGTTGGCCAAATCCTAATGGATAATCATAAACTGGTTACGATATTCATTTTTGAATTTTTTTAAACATGAAAAAGATGTAATTTTTGTTTTTAATGAAAAATATGCTTGGAAAATTTTTAGGATTTGGCCATATGCAACAAAATATTTTTTTTTTTTTTGGAGATTTTTTGAATTTTTTTATTTTTTAAAAAATATTTTAAAGAAAAATGGTATTTTAATATCGAATTTGTATTTTACAGTATAAATATACAACCCCATATTATGCAAAATTGATAGAAAAATATGCAAAAAAATCATAATTTTTAAAATGATTTTGGATATATATATAAAATTCACATCGTGCATGAACAATAGGACGTGAATTATAATTCACACCTATTGTTCATGCGGTGAACAGGAAACAAGAAGAAAAGAAAGAGGAGGAAAGGAAGGGGGCTCACCTGGCTGAAGAGGTTGTGGCTGCCGTCATTGGTTTAGTAAAGGACGGTGAAAGAGTTGGTGGTTGCAATGGTGAAGGTCGGCGTTGGTCACAGAGGGATGAAGAAAAGGTTGTAGAGGAGAGAGAAAGGTTGGAAGGAGAAGAGAGAGAAGATCACGGTGGTTGCTCTACCACTGGTGAGGAGCTAGGTTGATGGAAATGATGGTGGGAAAGTTGGTTGTGGCGGTGGAGTTGGCTGCCTGAGTTGACTGGAGTGACTGCAACTGGAAGAAGAAAAAAAGAAATCTGTAAAGAGGAGAG